GGCCCCGGGAACATTCCATTCATTTTCCGCTCACCGCGGCCGGCCGGAGCGGGAGCCTAGCGAGTGGAGCCTGGGCCTGGGCCGCAGCCGCAACGGAGCGAGCGGAGCCTGGGCTGGGTGCCCAGGGAGCAGGCTCCGCGGGCTCCGCGGGCAGCAACGCAGGGACTCTGGTGAGCCAGGGGTCGGCTGGGCTTGGGGCCAGGGGCCCGGAGGTGTAGGAGGCCCGGGACGCCGCCCCGTCCCCCGCCACCCGCGGCTGGGTGGACTTTGGCCTCTATGGGCCAGTGCCTAGGGGAAGGCGGGGCGGCCGGGCAGCGGGACCCGCCCCCAGGACAGACTTGAGGGACAGGCAACAGGTCGGAGGGAGGGGCCCGCAGGAGGCCCGGGGGACTGGGGCCAAGGCTCCCATGCCCCCAGGCCTTGCTTGTCCAGGGGAGGCCCCATCCTGTTTTGTGGAGCCTAGGGTGACTGGCAGCGCATTCTGGGGCACCACATGGGGTGCCCCAGTCCTGACGGCTTGTTCTGCCTTCCCTGGTTCTGACAAAAGCTGCCATCTTCTCGACCTGACACCCTCATCTTGGTGTAGTTGGGTCACCCTGGCTCCTCGCACCCACCCCCCGGCACCTCCCCCGCACTGCCCAGCCCAGGCAGACACGCACACGCACTCCTGCTGCGCACTGCTCTCCCTCCAGGCTGGACCGTCCAGCTTCCAGGGTCCCCAGCAGCTGAGTAAGAGCTGAGCACTCTCCCTCCCAGGTCAGGAGGGTGGGTGTGTGCAGAAGCGGCTGGAACCCCCCTTCACTGAGCTGTGGGGATTTCCTCAGGGGCATCAGACAGTGCCTTCCTGGCTAGAGGCCATAGGTCACTTCCAAAAAGATGCACAGACTCTGGCTGCTGCTGGCCTGGAAAGCATCTGGATAGGTGCCCCCTCTTCCCCAGAGCCATTCATCTGGTCCCTGCCAGGCCCTGCAAAGCCGAGGGCTTACTACTTTCTCGGGCTTTGCTTCTTTCTGTGGTTGCACATCCTCAGATGGTTTGAGGAAGCTCTGAGAGTCAGAATAGGGATGCAGGAGGGGGATGGAGAACAGCCAGGAGGTTCCTGGTAGCCCAGGCAAAGAAAGGAGCAGGCTTGGAAACGCCAGCCAGTCCCAGAAAAGCCGCTTGCCCCCATGGAGCTGAGCAAACCCCTCCGCCTTCCGGAGGAGACAGAAAATAGGTGGGGTTGGAGGGGTGCGGGCAGGCAAAGGGGTGAAGAGATGCAGTGCCCAGCGAGAGCCGTGCGGGGTGATGGGTGGTCAGGGTCACCACCTGCACTAGCCACGTGCCTCACTTTCTTCCCCTGAAAAGTGGGATAATAACAGTGGGAGAATAGAAGCAGACCCTCAATGGGATGGACTGACACAGTGGCTACAACAGTGGGCCGTGTTTCATTCTGGGGACACAGGATCTGTACGAGTCGGAGCAGACTCAACGGCGCCTGATAACAGTAGCAACTCCTGAGGACTGTCGTGGGCTTGGGGGAGAAAGTCCACGGGAAGTGACCAGGTCAGGCTTGGCCCGGGCAAGTCCCTGTAGATGTGGGCCACTGCCAGGTGCACCCAGGCGTGACCATCACAGGGCGATGTGACTTGTTTCCTTGTGTTTGCGTTTGGTAGCTTGCTGCCACATTTATGCTAAAAACGTGGTCAGAGTGTTCTGGGAGGCGATGTTTAAGGGGCCTCGAAGGGTGCAGGGTTGGGGCCGTGCACATGGAGTTTGGGAGGCCAGGGCCGAGTCCAGAGTGGGGTTCCACACATGCATCGGGAGATGGCCATAGGAGGGTGTGGCGGAGAGGCTGCAGCTGGGACTCTGACAGGGATAGAGCAGGGTCTGGAGGGTCAGGGTTGGGGTGCAGGGGTGTCTGGTCAAGGCAGGATGAGAACTTGAGGCAGAATGGCCCTGCCCGCCACTCATTCCTGGCTGTCCCTAAAATCCTGGTGCCCCTAGATTAGGGAGGAGGGAGGAGGGCCCACATGTGTTTGGGTCCCCATACGGGACTTTGAAACATTTCCAACTGGGGGACCCTTGGCCCAGCCTCAGCCTTAGCAGCTCACCCCACTCACACGTCTGCCCTTGTCCACACGGCGCCCACAGACACATGCTCACAGACAGGGCTGAGGTCCAGTGACCCCATGGCACAGACACAGGTCTCCCCCAGACCTCCTGTGTCCTGTGTGCCCCCAGTCGGGTGAGGAAAGGGCCAGGGGAAAAAAAGAGAAGTGGGCCGGGTGGCGGCTGTGGTGGGAGTGGTCTGGTGGGCAGCTATAAACAGCATGTTTGCCGAGCCCGGCTAGCTCTGTCCCCAGCTCCCTCTGAGCTGCAGCTTTGGTTTTCTCTGTCGCCTGCAGCTGCCCTGTGTGTGGACAGTCAGGTGTAGCATAGATGTGTGGTCTACCTGTACGTACCTGCACAGCCTACTGATTAGGCCAGGCCTGTGCTCTGGGGGTGTGATCTGGGGGTGGGGAGGGGGCATGGGTGAGTGCCTGGGACCCTTCCTGGAGGCCGCACTCAGGTGCCTGGGGATGGACTTCCAGGAGGTGGAGACCAGGGTGTGGTCCTCCCCAGGGTGACTGAGCCTATAGTGTGGGCAGCCGTGATCCTTTGGTCCCTGGTCGTAGGTTAGACTACAGGTTGAACTTTTCCTTGGAGCTCTCTAGAGGGGAGTGGGTGTGTCTGGCTAGATGTACAGGCCATGTCAGGCAACCCCGGCCGTCCCCAGCCTGTGTCTGGAGAGGCTCTCAATGGGCCTGCTCTCCCCTGACCCTCTCTCTCCCGCAGGGTGCCAGGGTGATGGCGCTGTGGCTCTGGGCCCTGACCTTCCTGGGCCTGGTGGGCTCCAGTGTGGGCCTGCGGTCCCGCAAGCTTGACTTCTTCCGTAGCGAGACAGAGCTGAACCACTTGGTTGTGGACAACGTGACAGGCGGGGTGTACCTGGGGGCGGTGAACATGCTCTACCAGCTGACCGCCGACCTGCAGCTGCTGCAGCAGGTGGCCACGGGCCCGGCCCTGGACAATAAGAAGTGCACGCCACCCATCGAGAAGAGCCAGTGCCACGAGGCTGTGCTCACAGACAATGTGAACCAGCTGTTGCTTCTGGACCCCCTCGAAGGCCGCGTGGTCGAGTGTGGCAGCCTCTTCAAGGGCATCTGCGCCCTGCGGTCGCTCGGCAACATCTCCACGTGCCTCTTCTACGAGGACAGCAGCGGCGAGAAGTCCTTTGTGGCTAGCAACGACGAGTCTGTGGCCACAGTGGGGCTAGTGAGCTCCACAGGCCCTGGCGGTGAGCGCGTACTCTTCGTGGGCAAAGGCAACGGGCTGCACGACAACGGCATCATCGTCAGCACCCGCCTGCTGGACCGCACCGAGAGCAGGGAGGCCTTCGAGGCTTACACAGACCACGCCACCTACAAGGTCGGCTACCTGTCCGCCAACACACAGCAGTTCGTGGCCGCCTTTGAGGACGGCCGATACGTCTTCTTTGTCTTCAACCAGCAGGACAAGCACCCGGCCCGGAACCGCACGCTGCTGGCACGCATGTGCAAGCAGGACCCTTACTACTACTCCTACGTGGAGATGGACCTCGAGTGTCAGGACCCCGGCGACCCTCAGGCCCCCACCTCTGGGACCTGCCTGGCGGCCTCTGTGGACCCGGGCAGGACACTCTACGCTGTCTTCAGCAGGGACGGCAGGAGCGGAGGCGGTGGGGGGCTCCATGCTGGCTTCTGCCTGTTTCCGCTGGACGAGATCCACACCAAGATGGAGGCCAACCGCAACGCCTGCTACACGGCCACCCGGGAGGCGGGCCACAACCCCTTCTACAAGCCCTTCCACGGCGATATCCAGTGTGGCGGCCACGCGCTGGTACGTGGCCCCGATGCCAAGCCTGGGGAGCGCACATCTGTGTGTGGGTCTGCGTGTCAGCAAGTGTGAGCGTGTGCTGGTGTGTCTGTGCCCCCGTGGGGGGGGCGTGCCGTGCATGCCCACCTCCAGCTGGGGACCGGTGTGAGCACGTGTGTGGGCCACTGTGCCTTGACTGGCACGAGCTTGCACACGTGAAAATGCCCACTTCTCTGTGGGTCTTCCAGTCATATGTCCAGGGCCCCACTTGCTGGGCACTGGGCATGCAGCCTTGAGCAGTTAGGGAGGATCCTGGCCCATGTGGGCTCTTGATCCCGGTGGCATGGGAGGGGCCCCCCGCGGCATGGAGTTCTGTACCTGCCACTGATGCCAGGGTCTGCAGGGTGCCAGCGAGAACTTCCCCTGTGGCTCGGAGCACCTGCCCTACCCACTGGGCAGCCGTGACGGACTCATAGCCACAGCCGTGCTGCAGCGAGGTGGCTTGAACCTGACAGCTGTGACGGTGACTGCCGAAGACAGCCACACCATCGCCTTCCTGGGCACTTCCGACGGCAGAATCCTCAAGGTGAGGCCGGGGCCAGGGGGGTGCCAGGGGAATGCTCCGGAAGGCAGCACATCGAAGCCACCAGACCCTCACACCCGCCTCGCACCAGGTGTACCTTGCTCCAGACCACACCTCCGCAGAGTACGGCTCTGTCCTTGTGGAGATCAACAAGGGGATCAAGCAAGACCTGGTGCTGTCTGCAGACCTGACCCAGCTGTACGCCATGACCCAGGACAAGGTATGGAGGCAGCCCTGAAGGGAAAGGAGGATGCGATGGGGGCAGGTGCCTGGGTGGTGTCTCCATCCTGTCTCCATAGCACCCCCGTCTGTGCGACTTTGTCTGTCTATCCTATGTCTTGACTGCATCTCTCTTTCTGGCCCTGCCTCCACCTTGTTCTGAGGAAGGGATCTGGGTCAGTGCTGTGCGTGGGCGTACCCTGGGGGTAGATGGGCATGGGGAGGGACCCTGTGCAGCCTCAGGGAGCTGGGCACTTCCTCAGTGGCTTCTAAGGGGGTAGAGGTGGGCCAGGTGCCCGAGCTTCATGGGGAGCGTGTTGGGTGGGTACAGGAGCCCCTTAAGCTTTGGGGGCACCTAGAACGTCCAAGAGCCTCTTGCATGGAGGGTCAGAGGGCCTGGGGAGGACATGGGAGAGGGTCCATGGCCAGCACCCCCAGGTTCCCTGGGGCCCAGACCCATCTTAAGTCCTGTCCCAGGAGCCGAGGCCTGTCACCTCCAGTCACTGCTGTCCTCCTCTCGGTCCCTGCCCCCCAGGTGTTCCGGCTCCCTGTGCAGGAATGTCTAAACTACGTAACCTGTGCGCAGTGCCGCGACTCGCAGGACCCCTACTGCGGCTGGTGTGTCGTCGAGGGACGGTGAGCGCCTGGTCGCAGCCTGGGGTGGGTGGGCGCTGTACACGGGGCGGCATCTGATAGCACAGCCCTGCCCTGGGGTCCTGGGGAACATGCCCCACACTCTGGGAGATCTGGGGGGGACACAGCCCTGCCTTGGGGTACGGGGGGATATGGCCCCACACTCTGGGAGATCTGGGGGGGACACAGCCCTGTCTGGGGTCCTGGGGGGATATGGCCCCACACTGGGAGATCTGGTGGGGGACAGCCCTGCCTTGGGGTCCAAGGGGGATATGGCCCCACACTCTGGGAGATCTGGGGGGGACACAGCCCTGCCTTGGGGTACAGGGGGGATATGGCCTCATACTCTAGGAGATCTGGGGGGATGTAGCCCTATGCTGGGGTCCAGGGGGATATGGCCCCACACTCTGGGAGATCTGGGGAGACACAGCCCTGTCTGGGGAGACACAGCCCTGTCTGGGGTCCTGGGGGGATACGGCCCCACACTGGGAGATCTGGGGGTATGTAGCCCTGCCCTGGGGTCCAGGGGGGACATACCCCACACTCTGGGATCTAAGGAGGGAACACGACCCCACCCTCAGGGTATGGGGAGAACAAGACCCCACCTAGGGGCTGAGGGATGCCAAGGCTGAGGCTGCTGTCCCCTACGCCACAGATGCACCAGGAAAGCCAAGTGCCCGCGGGCCAAGGAGACTGGCCACTGGCTGTGGAGCCGGGACAACTCCTGCGTGACCATCACCAGTGCCCAGCCGCAGAACATGAGCCGGCGGGCCCAGGGGGAGGTGTGCTGTGGGCCAGGTGCTATCAGGGTGGGTGGGCCGTGATCATGCTATGTCCCTCCTATGACCCTGCTGGGCCCCTCTTGGCCTTGTGACCCTGGAATTGTAGGTGTGACAGAGGTACAGAAAGGCCTGTTTGGGATGAAGCAGTCAGGTTCCAGAGGCTCCTGGGTGGGGGTCAGGCTGTATACACGTGGGTGGGTCCCAGTGAGCTGCTCATCCCCCAGGTGCAGCTGACGGTCAGCCCTCTCCCCACCCTGAGAGAGGAGGATGAGCTGCTGTGCCTCTTCGGTGACTCGCCTCCACATCGCGCCCGTGTGGAGGGTGACACCGTCGTCTGCAACTCCCCGAATGTCATTCCCAGCACACCGCCTGGCCAGGGTAAGCCTCCACCACCCCACACCATGAGGGTCACAAACAGCCTCCCAGGCACAGGGCCACTGGGGGTCCACCAGGGCAGGTGCATATGGCGCCTCTTGAGCCGGCGAGCACAACACGTCCCTCCCCGTGTGGCTGCCTCTCACCCCCAGGCCGTGGGGCGGGGGCCCGCGGCTGAGCCCCTCGCCCCTTTGTTCCTCTGCGGTATTTGCGGCACACAGCTCTGTTTGTGGCACACAGCTTGGTGCCAGGCTCCAGGCACCGTCCTTGCAGCTCCCCTCCCCCACTGGCCTGAGACCGGCAGGGCTGTCCCGGGAGGGCCCGAATGTGGGCCAGGGAAGCAGGGGCAGGGTCTTACAGTGACGTGGGCAGGGGCCTGGCAGTCCCTGTGCCTCAGACACATAAAAGCCACTGCCCTCAGCGCCGACGGGGACAGAGACAGGCTGCTACAGCACAGAGCTCTAGGGAGAAACAGGAGCCTCGTCCTGGGGCCCCCTAGATCTGATAGTGGGGGAGTGCAGGCAGGGGGCCCAGATCTGATAGTCGGGCGGGTGCCAGAGCTGATAGTAGAGGGACCCAGCTGGGCCAGAGTGAGAGTAGGGGTGGGGGGCACCAGTGTTAGGCCTCGACCTCTGGTCCCTGCACCTGCAGCCCATCAGGAGCTGGGATGGGAGAGGGTCTGGGGGGGGTCCCCCTCTCTGGGTGCTTTCTGCCTGCAGCCACAGTCTTACATGGTCCCTCTGCCATTTGTCTGCAGACCACGTGACTGTGAGCATCCAGCTCCTTCTCCACCAGGGCGACATCTTCCTCACCTCCCACCTGTACCCCTTTTACGACTGCCGTTCGGCCATGCATCTGGTGGAGAACCTCCCGTGAGTGCCACCCACCCTCCACTATCCACCCTCCACCTAGCCCCTGGCGCCAC